TATGTAACTTGTTTGTAACACTATTTCTCATAGTATATATCCTACTCCGTGTTAAATAAACGCAGAAATTCGAGTGTAACAAGACAAATACTAATGCAATATTTTATGATCAATTACCTGTATTGTAAATTGCGCCATTCCTTGCTTTCCCAGTCGCTCGATATGTTTTTATCTGATAGTGTAGACTTATCTTGTTTGATTGCGAAGAGTGTTGGCCAGTATAACGCTCAAAACGACATATTTTTGGCTAACATAACACGCACGCAATAGAATTCTCTCTTGTAGTTTTGGTGCTACCCATCCAATGACGTCACAAAGTTCATTGACCTTCGAGATAATTTTTCAAACAATATTTCCAAGATGGCGGCGAAACACAAAGTTTGCATGCATTTTACTCGTAGACTAAAATGTTTGAGAACGAAATGACAATATTTTCATAGTTAGGTCGTCAAGTAGGATTGAAATAGCCAATAAAAATTTTCGGTGCCATTGTCCTTTAAGCTGGATTATTCTTCAAGTAAAGCCCTCAATGACAATGGGCAATGCCAATGCCAATGAAAAGTCTTTATAAGATTTATAATGTACCCGCTGTAAATTACGGTAATACACGAAATATAAAATAATATACTATAAAGTACAATACCAGTGTCTGGTGCATATATCGTCCTAGATATTCATGTTGTACCGCACGGACGGAAGAGTCTTGGTGTTCGTGTGATAACAGATAGCTATACTTCGACATAATCTTTCCTGATCGTTGAGTTTCAGCAATGTAGATGAAAGGAATTTTATAGTCCATAACAGGTCATAATTTTATAGTCCATAATTAATTTATAGTCCAGGAATTTTATAGTCCATAACCGGTCTTGGTCCGAAACTGACCACACCCAAAAACGACGCTCTCGCCATAGTGCTATCTACCAAACCATAAAAGCTTTGGCTATTCTGAGGTGCTTATATGGTTCAGAGATCTTGCTTTTAGGGGTGTTCATTGGTAAGTGTGAAATGCCTAGCACTGATATTTCACAAGAAAATGACCATGCAATAATCATAGTTAAACGTCAATTTGTGACTTACAAATTTAGATAAACAGCAGTGGACCTACATCACCTTTTTTCATAAATCTTTTTTATAGAAACATAATTGGTACTTATTTAAGTATATTATCACTGCTTTGCTGTAAAATAGTTAATACCTTGTGACCGAAATAATAATTTGAAATGTACCTACCTCCTGCAAATGGACGTATTTGGCCAAATTCTCCAATTTACTCCGCTGTTTATCGCCAATCTCGTTGAAATCCTTCCAAATATGCACGGCAGCTCAGACATAATGGTATCAAGCACATTTTAAACAAGTTTTAAATAGGTTTCAAGCAGATCCTAGCTGTTTAACCATCGACAAGGTAAAACCACAACTTTGTCCAATTCGGCGCCATTTTGTCATCCCATGTCGGTTGTAAACAATTCGGCCTTGTTATTCTTCCATCCAAGCCATTTTCACTCCACTAATAACAAATTGAATATGAGCTGCTGTACATACCTGTCTGAGCTGCCGTACATATTTGGAAGGATTTCAATGAGATTGGCGATAAACAGCGGAGTAAATTGGAGAATTTGGCCAAATACACCATTTGCAGGAGGTAGGTACATTTCAAATTATTATTTCGGTCACAAGGTATTAACAATTTTACAGCAAAGCAGTGATAATATACTTAAATAAGTACCAATTATATTTCTATAAAAAAAAATTTATGAAAAAAGGTAATGTAAGTCCACTGCTGTTTATCTGAATTTGTAAGTCACAAATTGACGTTTGCTATGAGTATTGCATGGTTATTTTCTTGTAAAATATCAGTGCTAGGCATTTCACACTTACCAATGACCACATGTAAAAGCACCATTTCTGAACCATATAAGCACATCATAATAGCCAAAGCTTTTATGATTTGGTAGATAGCACCATGGCGAGAGCATCGTTTTAAGGTGTGGTCAGTTTCGGACGTTTCGCCCCGGATTGGGGTTCGGGCAGCGTTACCATGTCGACCGTCATACTCAACTTGCCCTAAAACAGTTGAGATTATCTGTCCTAAATGAAATTCATACAAACTCATATACAGGTCCTATACTAGATTAAAAGACATATACAAGTAAATTAAGTAAATGATTTCTCAAGGAACTTTCAAGGAAATTCTATTCCCTGATCAAGGAAATCTAAGGAAATTTTGACACAAATTTCCGGAATTTTAAAATTTAATAGTGGAAGCACTGAATTGGCATTAGTCGGTTAAGCCCCTGTCACACTATTGCATGTCGTACTAGCGGGGGGGTGCAATTTGCAGAATGCAGAACACAACTTCTGTACTTTCGCTCAGCTTTTACAAGATTAGGAACCTAAACCCAACACAAACCCCAACCCTAACACTTTCCGACAGTTTTTGAGCGGAAGTACAGAAGTCGCGTTCTGCATTCTGCATCCTGCAAATTACACCCGCCCTCGTACTAGCGTATGGAAAATATCACTCATACGCTGGTATATGCTCACATACGTTACAAGCAGTCACAAGCACGGTCGCACACGGTGGTATACTCTGGCATACGGCGAGGTTCGGCGAGACAGAAACATTTTTTAAGCATGCTTAAAATTTTGTGCGTATTTGGACGTATGGTTTATACGATAAGATTATTCTAGACGCACGCTGAATACGCTAGAGGTACCCAAGGCCGGCGAGAACCAAACACGGGCCCTGGGACAAATTGGTGAACACGCCCCTTTACTCTCAAGCTCAATCCCACACCAAAGTTATTTTTTAATCGCAATCAACGAGTGAATCGCCTGCGAATTACTTGCAAGAAATTGCTGGAGAATTTTGGTGCTGATGGCGCGTGTGGTGTGCGTGCATGTTACCGTACCAGCAGATGGACGTAATAAAGTAGCTCAATACAGGTAAATGCCTCATATATATCATCTCATAACTGATAAGGACGCGATGTAAACGATGCCTAGCTAACTGTTTTAGCAGAAAAACTGATTGAAAAATCGTTTATTTAACATTTGGTACGTCTTATGATCGATTACGACAATCAGCGGATAGTGTGCAAGTAGGCGTATTTCATTTAGGATAAACAAAAAGCGATGATAAACGATATGAACATTTAACGAGATTTTCGGGCCCCACTGAGCACTCCAGACCCCTCCTCCCTGCCTCCCCTTCTCGCCGGCCTTGGAGGCACGCCAGATGTAGATACTCATACGCTGGCATTTCAAGGGATGGATTTCGGTCTTCTACAAAGCAACTTCCATCTTGGCAACGATTCCGATTTTCTATTTTGAAAACTCTACTTTTCAAAATGTCCCGGGGGCGCATGTAAACGCCTGTATATGCTGAGGTTACTTAAACGATCAAAAGCGGATATGAAGACTCTGGTCGTTCTTTATATAACAGTAATAAGACCAATACTTGAATATGCCTGTCAAGTGTGGCATTTTAGCATTCAAAAATTTTTATCGGATGATATTGAACCATCCAGAAACGTGCATTAAAAATCATTGTTCCAAATTCAACTTACAAGGAGGCATTAGAAATTGCAGGAATTACTACCCTTTATGACCGGCGGGAAAGACTTTGTGATGAATTCTTTATACAAAATATTAATAATGACAAAATGACGGATTTATTTCCAGACTCATTTACATCAAACTATAACCTAAGATTACCACGTAAATACAATAACTATAGTTACAAAACTGACCGCTTTAAACATTCCTCTTTACCCGAAATGATTTCTAAAGAAAATAGTAGGATATAATTTTAATATCAATCGTAATTTAAGTGTAAAGTCTTATATTATTCTTATATGTAATATAGTAATATAATAGATTTTAGCTATATACAGAAGATCTTATGTAATTTAACCTTTTAGTTACAAAATAAGTTGATTTCTTATTAAATAAATATTATAAATATTAAGTGGAAAACTGTTTTATGCTATCGCAAACGTACCGTACCGTACCGTATGTTAGCACATAGCCATTCAGCGACGAGCTTATATAATTTAAGCCAATCAGCGATTATGTTACATCGTGTTCGCCATCTAACCTGCGAACGGGCATGGTTTTTGCCTCGTGTTATTCAGGTGTTTATATTGTGTTTGCCATTTTGGCACAGATTTTGGCTTCAAAAATATCTTGATTTTATCTTGATTCTTGAATTAGCTGTCTTGTTTTCTCGCTATTCTACTTGCGAAATTATTCCGAAGTGTCTGTCAACATGGAAATTTATCCTCATCTGGTATGTAGTCAAATACGCATGTTTTTATTTATACATATTTACTGATACCAAATTTGTGCAAATGCTACATATTTTTATTAGTTCATATAAACATTTTAAGCAATTTGTCAACTTAGTTCACAAAAACTTTATACTGTGAACAATCATTGTGCGATATTTTAAACAGTCAAAACATAGCAGGCAATATTCGTAATGCTGTGTAGATTCGTAATGCGAACACTGTTGACTGTTTTAAGAGGCTCTTAAAGTCTTATTATTTTAGACTAGCTTTAAATTGATCTTTGGACCATTGAGATAACTGTGCTCTTGATATAGGTTTTTATGTAATTGTAATTGTATTTTATAGCATACTTGTAAGGCGCTTTCGATCATTTTGTCATGCAGAAAGCGCCATATAAATTGTCAAATTATTATATATTATACACAATATCAAAGGAAGCTAATGTTCTCAGGAGATATTGAATTAAATCCTGGTCCTACTCCTGTGCTGTATTTCTGTAGCTCTGTTCAAAACAACAGTCCAACTAAGCTGTCATCAAATGTAGTGTTAGAAGCAAAGGTTAAGATGTTATCAGTTAATTTAAAATACTTATACCAGTACATTTTGGTTTTACACATTAAGAGTTAGTTTTAATTGGACAAAATTTTTAGAAACATTTTCAAATGCTAATAACAGAATCCCCACCTACCCTCATTACATTGTCATTTTGCTTTCTAACATAAATGTTTTTGTTTAGAGATTAATACAACAATGATGAATAAATGTGACTGGATATTGGCTTGATAATTTTGTCACAACAATCCACTTGCAAGACAATCTTACCTCAATTCATTAGTGTGGAAAATGACTTAACAGCTACAATAATCATATATTATATATGGATGGATCAGGTCAATGGCTGTGCTGTGCGGATATGCTGTGTGGATGTGCTGTGTTAAACCGAACAGTGTGGTATATCATTAACTGTGTACATGACTGGAATTGAATTATATACTTCACTCATGACCTGTAAAACATTCTGTACTATTCAGTGGTCTCCGATATACAATTGACCTCTTTGCTACAGTAATGCATGTTCCTCAAATAGTTTTGTGTACGGTATGTTAGTGAAAAGTTAACATTGGCAAGTGTAAACAACCATTGACAGAATTTTTGCTTCATATGATTACAATAAAGTTTTGCATGAAATTTTTATTTCCTGACTGCATAATTATCTGTTACAATCATAATCACATTATAAAATTAGTTAAGTTTTTCGGCGGGGGGTGTGGAGTGCGTGGGGGCAGTTGCCCCTGCTGCTTTCCCTGATATATACAATCCTGTTAGATGTGTACTATATATGTTTGACTTTAAGATCTTATTTGCTATTTTATTTATTATAATAAGTGATGAAATATTTCAATTGTCACATAGCATCTTCATTATTTAGTTCCTTTCAAGAAAATACAAAATGTGAATCAAATTGTTTCGCAGATACATGTACGCATCGCGTACCTATTTTTTATAATGATGCTAACAAGACTATTACTCAGAAGATACGTCCGAAGGAGCCGAAGTCATGTTCGGCAAAATGTATGGCTAGTCTATATTTTTGTTCAGACAATTGCGTAATTTATTATTATTATTATTATTATTTAATCATATTTACACACATATACAACGGTAGCCCTTCAGCAAGTTTATCTACAGTTCCTTGTAGCTGATTTTCAAGGGGCCGTTGATTAATAATAAGGGAAGAA